CATTTTGTTGACTGCAATCATCATAATCGTAATCATCATTATTTCTCACCAATATCTTTTTACTGACTTTCATCTCGTTTCTTTAACATCTATTATTTCCTCAACCGACCAGTCCTTATATATTTATTTTTTTATTTTTGTTGTTTTTATTTTCTTCAATCATTTCATTGTATTTTTCTCTTTGTTTCTATTACTATATTTCTTTCTTTCTTTTTTTTTTTAGTAATCATTTTTTTCTTACACTGGCCGCATTCATATACGCCTCTCTGATGTGTGTGGTTTTTTTTAAAGACATCTTTCCCAACGCCTTTCCCACAAATTCGGACATTTCGATAGGAAGGAATGCGGCCAAAGTCACGTCTCTCCGTCCATCGTCCGGCTACCGGACTTTCAGACCGCTGGGTGTTGAGCTGGTCACACAATTGGTCGGTACTGGTCGGGGAAACAATATCAAACAATGATTTCAGTAGGGTAGGCATCCGGTTTTGTCCCCCTGCAATTGTTGCGTGCCTCACAGAGCGCGCGAAGACAACGTTCGTTCCTGTTTCGTGTTTTTAAGCATGGGTTCCTCACTTTTTCGTTCAGTGTTTCATTTCTATTCACTTGTTTGTTCGTCCGTTCTTTCATTCGCTCCTCAACTCTGTATTCGCCATTCGAATTGCCTTTGCTTCGGGCACCAAAATTTGTTTCTTTTTCTGCTATTTATTTATTTATGTTTGTCTTCATTTTTTTTTTAGGCATAATTTTTCTTTTAATTCTTTTTTTCAGATTCTTCACCAGGAATGACATTTATTTTCACACGCATGCACACACACGCACACGCACGCATCACATGACATCACATATTCCCTTGCTCAGTTTCATTCTTCCTAGTTATCCATATATTAGCAGTCTTCTTCATTTAGAGTACACACACACACAAACAGACACACACATATATATATATATATATATATATATATATATATATATATATATATATATATATATATATAGGTATGCCCAATTATTTGCTTTTATTATGACCTGCTTATCTACTTCATGAGGTGCGTCAATATAGAAAAAAAAGCTATTTATCCGGCATCATCTTATGAATAAACTGATATATATATATATATATATATATATATATATATATATATATATATATATATATATATATATATGTGTGTGTGTAATGGCTAAAAGTATAGCCAAAAAAAGCTTGGAAGACATTCAGACAATTTTTTATATAATTTATGTCCTGAAAAGAAAAATTTATACGAACACAAGCGAAATTATATGAAAAAACTCAACCTCTGCACCTTGTCAGTTGTTTTTCACAAAACTTTATATATATATATATATATATATATATATATATGAGCGAACACAAACAATATATATGCACATATATATATATATATATATATATATATATATATATATAAAAATGAAAAATATATAGAAAATAGGAAGGAACTGGTTAGGTAAATAATCCAAAGTCCCTTAGTATTTTAGTTATTATCTTTAAAAAATAGTGCTCGATACAAAAGTAGAGCATAAAAAAATTTCCAAAAAAATTTGGAAAAAAAAATTTACCAAAAAAAAAATTTGGAAAAAAAAATTTCCCCAAAAATTTGGAAAAAAATTTCGAAAAAAAATTTCGAAGAAAAATTTGGAAAAATAATTTCCCAAAAATAATTTCCAAAAAAAATTTCTCTTGAAGATGGAACAGAGCTTATTTTAACTCAATTTAATTTAAATAATTATATTGAAGTTTTCGGGTCTTGTTTTGAAACATGGGACTTCTTATGTCGTGATTTGGAATCATATTTTAAATAAATAATTATATATATATATATATATATATATATATATATATATATATATATATATATATGAGCGAACGCAAACAATATATATGCATATGCATATATATATATATATATATATATATTGTCTGTTTCTCAGTTGTATTTCTCATTATATATATATATATATAATATATATATATATATATATATATATATATATATATATATACATATATATATATATATATATATATATATATATATATATATATATATATATATATATATATATATATATATATATAAAGAGAGAGAAAGAGGATTGAATATAGATAGATATAGACAGGTAGATATTCTTTCACTTGTTTTTTAAACGTCATATCTCTTCTCTCTCTCTTTGCTGTATATATATATATATATATATATATATATGGGATGTCTGTGTGCGCGCATGTGTGCGTCCGTTTAACAAATATACGTAATGAATATGCATATATATTGAATCTAAATATATATTTTATTTTCATTCTCTCCCATCTCTCTCACACCTCTCTCTCTCTCTCTCTCTCTCTCTCTCTCTCTCTCTTTCTCTGTCGTTATCACTCTACCTTTCCTGTTCTCTCCCTTTTTTTTCGGAATCTTTATGTTTATCTCTCTATCTATCTCTTTTTCTTTCTTTCACTCGGTTATTTATAATCAGTTTCTTTTTCTTATCTTCATTTCCTGATTCACTCTCTTCTTCTCTCAACGGCCAACATCTTCTCACGGACGCTCCGGCCACTGTCTTCAAAACCTACCTTTTTATAACACGCACAGCGTATACCTGATTTTTTTTTTTTTGTTTTTTGTTGTTTTTTCTTTTTGTTATCCATCTTCTCTGTATTTATAAGCACACGCAATTCCGAAAAAAAAAAAGGAAAAGAAATCATTGCTAACCTACACCTACCCATCCGGTTTCCTGCCACGAAATTCCCGTCATTTCCCAGGACTTTTTCCCGCGTTATGACAATTGGCCATCCTGACGTCCGCCCGCATTATAGTTCTGTGTCTACATGACACAATTCTTCTTTAACTGATATTCATTAGAAAAGAGGTGAACCTAACACAAAGAAGACATTTTTGAAACTGAGAAAAAAGTTATAAACGAGAGAAAATAACGATGACAATGGAAGGTGGAAGGATATGGACAAGTGGGATTAATAATAATAATAATAATAGCCGTTTCCTTATAAGGAAACATTCGGCGTTCATCGACGATCTACCAGTGCTACCTTCGGTTGAAATGTATAAAATCTTTCTCATGAGGAAACAACTATTCCCGCAAAATAGGTTTCTTAAATCCAGTAACTGTTAACTCTCGTTGAAGTACTGATGGCGTTTTCCTTCCTAACCTTTTGCTTGAGATATTGTGGAATGTCAACATCTTGATTATGTCATTATTCTCTTTTCGAGTTACATGTTTTATCCATTTTAATTGTTGCTGCTGTTGAAAAGCCTAAAGAGATGTGGTCTCTGCCCTCTGGTACAGTTCTTAGTGATTCTATGGCGCCATTCCACGTGGTCCGAAAAGAAAGGATGGTCCACGCAATGACATACGTGGTTCACTCGCTCGAAGCCATTTTTAACCATTGATCTGAGAAAGCGGTTGTATTCAGCTGACAGTTTAGATAATTCTGAACGACTTTGGTGCCATGCAGGACAGCCATATGAATCTCAAACAAAGACGGCCCTCGCTGGGACCCATAAGATTCAGTCGCTCGAAGCCATTTTTAACCGTTGATCTGAGAAAGCGGTTGTATACAGCTGACAGTTTAGATAATTCTGAACGACTTTGGCCCCATGCTTGACAGCCAAAATGAAAGTCTCGATCTGACGAGGCTACTTAAGGGCACCACTCGCGCGTTTAGGTTAATCTTTGGCTTTCGTAACAACTGACGGTATTGTGTGAAACTATCTCCAGTGCAACTTATGCTGTGTACAATTTCCATTTCTCCTATACTACATTTGTTATAATTGGTCCATCTGGTCTACTTCTCCTGCTATTCATCTCGAAGTTCTTGACAAAATCCAAAGAAAGATCTGTAATATAATCGATCTTGACAGCCATATCGACTTCAGTCACTTTCTCACATTCTACAGATATTTTCATAGCAACTACTCTAACGAATTTTTTATTCCTGGTGCCCCGACGGCATGAATTTAAGCGTGCCACTAGATTGGCATTTAGGTCCCACCCTTTACTACTGAAATAGCTAAATGCAACCCCCACTTCTACTCCAACAGTTTCTTTTCTCGCACTTCCCACCTTTCGTCTACTTGCTTCTCTGATAATTACAATCTTCATAAATTTAAATGCAACGTCAATCACCTTCAGTATCTGTCTATATTTCTGAGATGAGGTATTATGTACATTATTTACATTATTCGGACTATTGTCCTCATCTTTGTCGCCATATTCATTACAACTTTTCTGCCGTTGTACGCTCCAGCCTTCTTCAGGTGGTTGGAATGTCGAACTGAACCCTTTATTTCGCTCACTGGGGTAGACTGTTCTATGTGCCATGTATAATGGATGTCAGTTATCAGTTATCTCATGTTAATTCCCCTCTCCAAGTTCTCCACCGCCTTAACCAGGTATCCAACTCACACTCTTTGGGTCCTGTCACTCGATCTAATCAACGCCTTTATCCACTGTGCCATGTGTCCTTGTGGACACATGGCACAGTGGGTAAAGGCGTAACTGACATCCATAGTCCGAATCTATGTAAAATCTGTGTGAACTTAATTTTTTTATGAAAGTCATCAGTGGAAAATGTCATGAAGCCATTTCCGACCTTAGGTCTCTGGTTGGGACCCGGAAGGATGTGTGCATACTACAGAAAGTAAAGGAAATAATAATAATAATAATAATAATAATAATAATAATAATAATAATAATAATAGCAGAAGCAATAATAATAAAAATAATAACAAATTGTCATAATAGCAATAATAATAACAATAACAAGGACAACAGTAATAAAATAATATCAATAATTATAACAACATAACGATAACGATAAAAGCAACAATAATAAGAATAAGGATAATACTAACTAATAATAATAATAATAATAATAATAGCAACAATCATAATAATAACAATGCTCGTCAATTGCCTGACCTTAAGGGGTTGAAATTGTACCCTAGCAGCTGACACATAACATTGAAAGCACCGGATCCTGTACGATCACCGAAGTTAAGCAACGTCGAGGCTGGTCAGTACCTAGACGGATGACCGCTTGTGAATACCAGGTACTGTAAGCTTGGATGTGCGGGTGGCATAATGGATAATGGGTCGAAATTGTTAATCGAAGAACCGAGTTCCAATTCCTGTTAGGTTTATTATATTCACTTACGCGCAAATACCCTTGGGAATGGTATAAATCCACCTCTTCTCACCCCAGCTATGGGTTAATTATTAAGTTATTAAGACGTATCACTAAAAACCATCAATATCTAAATAAATAAAAAATTCTTATAAACTAAAAATATTTTCTGGTTTTAAATAACTTGCAAAGGGTTGATAAGCCGTAAAAAATGAATCAATTGATAAAAAAACATTGTATCTCTGATCATGGGCGGGAGTAGTGGAAGAACGACATCATGACGTGGTTTTCGAAATAACCCCCATTTAAATTTTTTTTTTTTTTTTTTTTTTAATTTTTACGAATTGGGAATGACATCTCGATGCCCGGATACACCGTTAATCGAAAACCGCCTGAGCGGACAAAGTTACACGAATTGATGATATTTCTAACTTCGAAAAACCAGCAACGTTATGTGCTGCTTTTATGAAAACCTGCCATCATATAACACACATTTGGCTGTGGTGCATGTGCCTGGTATACCCTTATCAAACTTGGTATCATGATGTTTATTTTCAGCTCCGTACACTGTGTCACTTTTGATGGGTACTGTTCTCGCAATCAATAATAATAATAATAATGCACGTCAGTTGCCTGACCTGAGTCGATTGGACATGCACCTTAGGGGCTGACGCACTGAGTACCTCCGTCCATGTCATAGTAATAAAAATTATCAGCAATAGACTTCTGTAAGGAAAACTATATATTACCAGCAATACATTTTTGTTACAAAAACAAAATTACCAAAAACAAAATGTATCTTTCAAAACATGACTGACGTGGCAGATTTTCTCCTACAGTAGGTTGCCACTTCTTTCTGCGGTAGATCAGTTGCCATCCAAGACAATAGAACCCGCTCTGTCCTGCTTGGGGGGTGGGGGGAAAGAAGACGAGGATTCATACCTTTCCTAAGGGTATTAGCACGTAAGTGAATGTAATGGATTCGACTGGATTTCGAACTCGACTCTTCGATTCCTCAATTCGCTATCCATTACTCCAGCGTGCCTCCCTATTTGATGATTTTTATGTATAAAAAATTGTTAATGATATTTAATATATAACCAGTTCATTATTCACTGCCTTTAACCCTAATACTAACCCCTAACTCCTACCCCTAACCTTAAACCCTAACCCTAACATATTTCATACTTCGAACAGTTGGGAAATATCATAGTATAGTAGAAAATAAATAGTAGATATCATAAACTTTGTAGAAAATGAATAGTGGATATCATACTTTAGTAGAAAATGGACGGTAGATATCATACTATAGAAGAAAATGGATGGTAGATATTATAAACTTTGTAGAAAATGAATAGTGGATATCATACTTTAGTAGAAAATGGACGGTAGATACCATACTATAGAAGAAAATGGCTGGTAGATATCATAAACTTTGTAGAAAATGAATAGTGGATATCAACTTTAGTAGAAAATGGACGGTAGATATCATACTATAGAAGAAAATGGATGGTAGATATCATAAACTTTGTAGAAAATGAATAGTGGATATCATACTTTAGTAGACGGTAGATATACTATAGTAACACCGTTTAGGTAGACACTTTCGACCGGAGACCGTTTAAGCGGACTGGGTAACTCGACCTGAAGTTATTTCTTAGCCCACTTGCCAGGCCATGTATTGCATTTCTCAAACTATGTTTGCCACATCGCGCACACTTGTCTGTGATGTATATGCTTGCTATACACTTATCAGACGGGGTGCCATGACGACTACATTGATCTCCGAATATTTGTATCTCAGCGTGACTTTGTTGTCGTTCTCCTCTCTCAATATTTTATTTGTGACTTTGAAATTCACAAAGACAGTTTTAACCGAATCAAGACAACATTTAGCTATCATAAACCAATTTATGCGCTTGACTTTTGCAGCAGACCACAGGGTGAAACCTAAGAAGCGAATAGAAGAAATAGATAATAAAACCTTGCTCTAGCTTGCAAAAGTCAAACGAAAAAATTAATGGTGAAATGAACTAGATTGCGCTGAAAACACATGAAAAGAGAAATGGAATCCCCGTATTGCATCTTCGAGTAAATATATGAAAACAATATGAAGGTGACGATAGACAAAACAGAAACGGAGCGAGTAAGCACCAAGGAAGTCTTAAAGAAAATGGTGAGAGAAAGAACACTTATAGTCAAAATCAGGAAAAGACAGCCGAAATCCCTTAGACACATAATGAAGACAGAAGGCTTGAAAAACTTAATCCTCACGGGGAATATTGAGGGCAATAGAGATAGAAGAAGGTAGCGAACGACTTAACCTGACGAGCTTACGTGAATGGATAGCGACATTGAGATCGGGAGACTAGGCAAAGGGAGAAAACTCATAAGAGCCACAACAGATAGAGAGTTGGGGAGAGCCATGATTGTCTATGTCCTGAAGGGGCGCGACAAGAAGAAGAAGAAGAAGAAGAAGAAGAAGAAGAAGAAGAAAATCAATAGAGGAAATTGAGAGCATTCAAACTATCGCAAAACTGATAAAAGCAAGAAATAAATCGAAGGTTGAATAGTGACGAGAGTGTTAGTGTATTAACGAGACTTGCTATCACTTGATCTCCCATGTAAGCCAGCAGTTACTGTTGGTGTGAAAACTCAATGAGTCTAAATAATATTAAAGAGATAACGCAAGTTAAAGAAGTCTGATAATAACAATGCGAGGACATGAGAAAGAGAATAATAATAATAATAATAATAATAATAATAATAATAATAATAATAATAATAATAATAATTTGAACAAAACCTAAGTATTGTAACAATGAAGTTCAAAGGGAAGCACAGATAAAAACAAATGGGGAAATAAAATTAGTTTAAGGCAAATTGGTTTTCCCTGTGATCAGGCGGTGTCTCCATCATCGTCATTGCCAGGTACGCGAGAAAAAAATGTACAGTTGAAAGTGTATCGTGGTCTTTTCGCAATTTCTTGAGCGGCTCTCATTGCGTCCGAGCTAATCAAAGAGAAACACTCGCCCCAGGAGGGAAAAAGACATGTGAGTGGCAGTAAAGATTGTTGTAGGAAAATTAGACAGATGAGGAAGATGGTAGGGAAATCGGGTGTGATCGCACGGAGACGGGCAGAGGGAAGGAAATTAAGAGGAATTGGAAAAAGAAAAAGAAAGAAGAAAAAGAAAGGATAAACTATATAGAGAATACAATGAAGTAAGAAAAGAAAGAAGAGAAGGAAGAAAATGAAAGAGAAAGTGGAATAGAGAATGAGGAATGAAGAAAAGAAAGAATAAGGTTCAAGGGATTTGAAAAAAAGGCATAGATTTTAAGGAAGAAAAGAAAAAAGGGGGAATAAATTGGTTGAAGACAGGGGAGAGGAATGTACTGAAAAAATGAAGGATGGATGAAAGGATAAAAAGAAAAATGATGAATGAAAGAGAAAGGAATGAAATGGTTGAAGGAAGAGGGGAAAATAAGAGGAAGGTTAAAGAATAGAAGAAAAGAATAATAAAAAGAGTCTGAAGGATTCGGATAAAGGAATGGTCAGGTGAAAGAAAAAGAGGGATAAAATAAAAGAGAGAAAGAGTGCGGATTTAAGTTAAGGAAATTGGAAATTATTGAACAGGGAGATGAATACAAGAAATAACGGGAAATAAGCAGAAAGGAATAAGAGAAATATATGAAAGAAGTAAAGGAGTGCGAAAGAGGAAAGAAAAGGAGTGTGAAAGAAAGAAAGAAAGAAAGAAAGAAAGAAAGAAAGAAAGAAAGAAAGAAAGAAAGAATACATGGATGAAAATTAACTATAATGGAATATATAAAAGAAAGAAAAAAACGTGGTTGAAAATTAACTATACTGGAAAGAAAGAAAGAAAGAAAGAAAGAAAGAAAGAAAGAATGCGTGAATGGAAATTAACTATATTGGAACATATAAAAGAAAGAAAGAAAGAAAGAAAGAAAGAAAGAAAGAAAGAAAGAATACGTGGATGAAAATTAACTATATTGGAAAGAAAGGAAGAAAGAAAGAAAGAAAGAAAGATTATTTGAATTAAAATGAACTACATTGGTATATATAAAAGAAAGAAAGAAAGAAAGAAAGAAAGAAAGAAAGAAAGAAGAAAACGTGGATGAAATTAACTATACTAGAATATATAAAAAAAAAAGAAAGAAAGAATACGTGAATGGAAATTAACTATATTGGAACATATAAAAAAGAAAGAAAGAAAGAAAGAAAAAAAGAAAGAAAAGAAAGAAAGAAAGAATACGTGGATGAAAATTAACTATATTGGAAAAAGAAAGAAAGAAAGAAAGAAAGAAAGAAAGATTATTTGAATTAAAATGAACTACATTGGTATATATAAAAAGAAAGAAAGAAAGAAAGAAAGAAAGAAAGAAAGAAAGAAAGAAGAAAACGTGGATGAAATTAACTATACTAGAATATATAAAAAGAAAGAAAGAAAGAATACGTGAATGGAAATTAACTATATTGGAACATATAAAGAAAGAAAAGAAAGAAAAAGAAAGAAAGAAAGAAAGAAAGAAAGAAAGAAAGAAAAGAATACGTGGATGAAAATTAACTATATTGGGAAAGAAAGAAAGAAAGAAAGAAAGAAAGAAAGAAAGAAAGAAAGATTATTTGAATTAAAATGAACTACATTGGTATATATAAAAGAAAGAAAGTAAGAAAGAAAGAAAGAAAGAAAGAAAGAAAGAAAGAAAGAAAGAAAGAAAGAAAGAAAGAAAGAAGAAAACGTGGATGAAATTAACTATACTAGAATATATAAAAAGAAAGAAAGAAAGAATACGTGAATGGAAATTAACTATATTGGAACATATAAAAAAAAAGAAAGAAAAGAAAAGAAAGAAAGAAAGAAAGAAAAAAAAAGAAAGAATACGTGGATGAAAATTAACTATATTGGAAAGAAAGAAA